TTGATGATCTTTGAGGTCCCCTCCAGCCTTGAGGGTTCTATGGTTTAGGGGCTACAGCAGTGCCAGGCAAAGGGTTGGACTTGGCCTTAGAGGTCTCTTCCAACTCTGATGATTCTCTAAAATGCCCTAAATCAGGACAGGACAACCCTAGTGACCCCAGAGGGCTTGGGGAGGTGGCACCAGCATCTAGGACTGGAGCTTTACCTGTGGTCCTACTCCACCTCTGCTCTTACACCGCACAAACCACGAGAAAGACCTTTCCACTCTTAGGAACCACCACCACCCTAGAGAACTCATTTCAAAAAAAAAAACAACAAAAAAAACCCAGAAGAAGCTCAATTACCATCTTCATCCGTGCGGACGATAACCGGCGAGCTCTCCGGCCCCGGCCCCACCTCCGTGTGAGCCACCACCGTGATGCGATACTCGGTCCACTTCTCCAAGGACTCCAGTAGGATCTGACTGGTGGTTGGGGGGATATCATTCACCTCCTTTAGGTCGGTGTCCTCCGAGTCCAGCGCTCGATAGTGGACGCTGTAGCCAGCCAGGACGCCGTTCTGGCTCTCGGCCGGTGGCGGCCGCCAACTTACCAAAATGGCGGTGGATCGCGTGCTGACACATTTAACGTCTTGAGGGGGGGCAGACGGTTCTACGAGGGGGGGAAAATTCAGGAGGGGGAAAGGGAAGAAGGGAAGGGAGAAAAAAAAAAACACAAACAAAAGATGGGAAAGATAAAAGAAAAAAAAAAAGGAAAAAAATGATAACAAAAAAATCTAAAATAAAACGTACGAAAATTTGGTTTAGGAAGATAAAATTAAAAGAGAAGAGAGCTTTTTGTTGTCGTCTTTTTTTTTTTTTTTGGGGGGGGGGGATTTTTTTTTTTTTTGGTTGTTGGCGTGGTTCGGTTTGAAATGCAAAGGTTAAAGAAAGGAACGATCATAAAAACAACGAAAATAAAAAGCCAACTGAAATTCCATGGGGCATCGAAACTGAAACGGTGGAAAGCAAAGGAACTAAAGCAGTGAGTGGGCTTAGCCAAGAGGGTCCTGCTGCCTCCACAGAGTCAAAGCCCTTTCCTTGGCTCCCCATTTTACAGCAGCCTGGCAAATCCTGCCCTGCCTGGGAAAGCATTTCTTTCCAACCTCACTCTCTGGGATCCTGAATTTCTTTGAAGGGATCTGGGAAAATGAAGTTAGAAAAGCAAATCTTTTGCCAGGAAGCTTAAATTTAACAGGCTGGACCTCCAGATGGAAGTGATTAGTTGTCCAGAGACTGGAGGAGGCCAAAATCCCACGCTGGGAATGCCCAGGACACTGCCAAGCAATGAGCCCGTGGTGCATTTAGAGGTTTAAACACTTGCAGAAGGAGGAAGAAAAGGGATTTGTTGAGGTATTCAGTACCTGTGGGATTTTCCAAAGCAGCAGCAGGTCTAAATCCCACTGCACTCACTGCCTGAACTACACCAGGGTGTTTCTGAGCATCTCAGGAGGGTGACTTGGGAAGAACAGCTCTACTTAGCTCCTGTTCATCCTGAGAGGAAACCTTGGGAAGAACAGCTCTACTTAGCCTCTGTTCAGTCTGGGAGGAAACCTTGGGAAGCACAGCTCTACTTAGCTTCTGTTCAGTCTAGGAGGAAACCTTGGGAAGAACAGCTCTACTTAGCCTCTGTTCAGTCTGGGAGGAAACCTTGGG